AAGGAGGATAAATTATGGTGGAGGGATGAGAAGGACAGGGAGAGCAAGCCAAGAATGGGGCAAAGAGAGGTCCCCAAAAGGAAGAGGACAATTAAAGGGAATGGGTACTCTTGGACAAACTCCATGAAGTTACCTCTGGTTAGAACCTAAAACCCACTCCCCTTGAGTCTTAGTTACTGCTTATCCTGTTGCTGAGACAAAATACCCAACACCCAAAGATAAAGAGTAAAGATTTACTTATCTCACAGTATGTAGAGGTTTCAGTCCATAACTGATTGCTTTCAAGGCAGGTAGATGGCAGACAGGCATCACAGAGGAGAAATAGTTTATAGCAGGCAGAAGGTAGCAAAGCAAGCAAGAGATTAACAACAGCTCTTTCTATCCCTTATATCTTATCCAGGTGAGTTGCACTCATAACCTTAATCCTAGTGCCCTTGATCCTAGCATTGTATCATGAATCAATCCAAGCACCACACATTCTAGATCCAGTCATTTGCATCTATGAGTGTATGAGGCCTTGGGGGGACATCTAGACACAAGCAATAATATCTTTCTAAGCTCATAAAAAATGGAGATCCTAGGATGGAGATGAAGGGAGCTGTACAATGTCACTAATGAGTCAGGCAGAAAACCCAGAATCACTCGAGGTCTCATAAGGTTTGCCCACAGCTCCACACCTGTGAGATGCATATACCACCTCCTGTCTCCTTTTCCTTGGGCCCTCATCTTCATCTCCCTTCTCCCAGTGGCAAGAACAAAACATGGGGCCCCACAGTACAGCTTCTAGTTGGTAGGTCTGGCAGCTTGGTCAAGGTTATGCAGTGGGCAGAAGAAACAGGCCCAGTGGTTCAGCTTCCAGAGAAACAGGAGGGAAAAGCCCCTTATTTGGGCAATGATCCCAAAACCTCCAAACTGCCTGGCATCCTAGGGCTGAGGATAGTCCCATGAAATCAGAGGACTTCTGTGGGCCACTGATCCCAGTGCCCACACTCACCAGAGACTGCTTGTTGGGTCAGTAGCTGTGCTTGTTGGGTTTTGTCTTTGCTGTAGCTGGTGCTGGCTCTAGACTCTTACCAGAAAAGGAGGTACCAGGTATGGGCAGGCATTGGCCTTGCCCAGAAAGAGGCAGCTGGGTTCTAAACCTGCTCTCCCTTACCTTTGGGAGACAGGACAAAAGACAGCAGCCAGTTATCTGGGGCTGTGGATCTTTGCTCAGACTCCTGGTATCTGAGGACTAGGAGTGGGCTGGCTCCAGAATCCACATAGCAGAGGATAGAGGGCTGGGTGTCAGTCCAAGGGCCTGGGGTTGGCCCTGATCCCACTGACTGATAAAATGATGGCACTGAGACCAGTGATCTCTCCCAGCCATCCTGGACCCCCAGCTGAACTGTCTCTACCCTAGAGAATACTTCTTGATTCTGTCACCTCTTTTTCCCTTTCTCATTTCTTGATACTACTGCCCCCTACTCTGATAAGCACCCCTACACCCATGTACCTTTCCAGCCTGCCCCTGGTGCTCATTTTCAGTGTCTGGAGTCGGGGCTTCTCAGCTGGTGATCCTCCCATGTGCTGACTGGGAACCAGGACATCTGGGTCCTGATACCAGCTCTGTCACATGCTGTGTACCTTCAGCTAGAAACTAACTAACTCTAGACTTTAGGGTGAACTAGAGGGTCACAAGACTCCTCCAGCTTTCAGACTTGATCACATCCAGGTCCACTCTCTTAGGGAGCTCACAAGACTTGGGGCTTTGGGTCTCTGACTCCAGTCTCCTGAAAAGTCCTCTACGGTCATGACATCAGGGCAGGGAGCTCCTGCACCTCTGGTTCAAAGTGTCAATACTTTTCCCATTTCATCCAGTTCCTAGGATGAGTGAAGAACATTTTATAATAATTAGAAATATGACAGAACTGTCAAAAATTTGAAAGATTTTTCTATTTTACATTTAGGGTAAAATTCAAATGCTCTTCATAAATATGGAAAAGAAAAACAGCCATGGGTGGTGGTGCAGTCCTATAATCCAGCATTCTGTGGAGCTGAAGTAGGGGGTTTGCGAGTTTGAGCCCAGCCTGGTCAATTTAGCAACTTAGTGAGACTTTGTCTTAAAATAGTAATAATAAGTTTTTTTTTTTTTGGTCTTTTTCATTTTTATCGGTACCAGAGATCGAACTCACGACTGCCTGCTTGCAAGGCAGGCGCTTATGCCGCTGAGCTAAACCCCCAGCCCCCAATAATAAGTTTTTTTAAAAATGCTTGGGGTGTAGCTTAGTGGGATGTCTGTAGGTCCAGTCTACAATATGAGAGAGAGAGAGAGAGAGAGAGAGAGAGAGAGAGAGAGAGAGACAGAGAGAGAGAGAGAGACAGAGAGACACAGAGAGAAAGAGAGAGAGACAGAGAGAGAGAGAGACAGAGAGAGAGAGAGAGAGAGAGAGAGAGAGAGAGAGAGAGAGAGAGAGAGAGAGAGAAAGGAAAATGAGCACATTTTAAAATAAAAGGAAAAGTACTTTTCCTTCTCCTGTTATGTTTTTGGAATCTGAGTCCTCTGAGTGTGCCATGCTCCTCTTTTCCTGCTCTGCTCCACATCACTTTCTTTTTCTTTATATTCTTCAAGATTACCTAAGAGATTGGGTGGAATCATTGGTCCTATAATAAGAAATAACCATGTCCTGTAATGATTCAGTTCAGCACCTTGGTCAGTACCCCACCTTCCCACATCTCTCCCAACCCCTGCATTTCAGTCTGTCTCCCAGGTCTTTGCAACTGACCTCCTGGTGGTGAGCCCGAGGGTAGTGAATAGTGCCAGGACCAGAGCAGCATGGAAGCAGGGAGTGCTGCCTAGGTGTGAGCAGTCAGCCTCCCTGGATGGTCTTTCTGGTGGAGGAAAGGTTTGCCCCAGAGCCCTCAAGGTAAGCTCTGCGTTGCCAAGAGACCTTATTTTGGTTGGTTTTGGTTTTTGCTGCAACCCAATAGAGAAGGAACCAGAGATAATGGCCTTATTAGGGGCTGAGCAGAATGATAAATCTGGCAAGCTATGGGGCTCAACATTGGACTCTCAGAAGCCTGGACCAGCAGGGCTAGGACCCTGGCAACCAATAAATGAAATCTCTTAACTCCTCTTAAACTGGCACAGGGAAACTGAGCCCCAGCAAGGGAGAGGGACCTGCTTAAGGTCACATAGGGTCTTCACAAGTCTCCCCCTGAACCTTGGAGATACAAGATACTTTGCGTGCACCTGAGACTTGAGTCACAATTGTACAATTCCATGATGGCTAGTGTAGGTACCCACTTTGAAACCCAGGGGATCCTAGTGTTGGTGACAAGTCCTCAAAGTCAAGAATAATATCTAGAGAGGTCCAGTGAGGAGTTGGGCTGATTTCCAACTCTGCCAAGTAGTAATTGTGGGTCCTCTGGGAATGCTTCTTCACTCAAACACTGAGACAATGATTCTAACCAAAGGGACTTGTCTCAGTAGTTAAAATAGAAAAAGTACCAGCACTTTGCTTGGTGACCTCATAGGAAGGACTCAGAATGGGGTTGCTGTCAATCAATCCTTGCCCACCCTGGGTAAGATCTACACTGACTTTTCCTTATTACCAACAGCCAAGCTGCTTTTGCCTCCCGTCTTAACTGCATTACACATGGGGATTCTGGTTTCAGACCAACTATCCCATCTCTTATTCAGGAATTTTCTGGTTTTGTGCTAATATACCTCTTAGAGGCATCATAACTTCCTGGAGTCCCTACATGGCTCTGTAAATGAGGCCCCTACAGTTACCCCCACATACTTTAAAATGAGGGTGGGAAGTGCCTAGCACTTCTTGGACTTGATGTTGAGGCAGATGGGAAAGGGCAGGATGAACCATGAAGTGTGTGGGGAAGAGGGTTGCAGAGAAAAAGACATTCACTGAGCAAAAACAGAGAGGCATGGTTTTGGAAGGAGCCACAGGGATCTGAATGAACAGGAGTTCTTGGGAACACTCAAGTCTCAAAACTGCCCTCCCTCCATAACTTAACTCTACAATGGGCTGTTTTCCACCAGCCAGTCAAGACCTCTGGTCCTGCTGGGGATTTAACTCAGCAGCACAAGTGCTTGACTGACAAGCACAAGGTTGTAAGTTTGAACTGTTGTACCAAAAAGAAAAAAAAAAAGGCCTAGTGGCCTCCCACCACCAGTGTGCACATCTGTGTGCTCTGCACAGGCCCTGTTGGACTCCTGGCCAGACTGCTTCCCCACCAGGAAAATGTGGGATAGACTGTCTTGGATTTTTTTTTTGTCTTTTTCGTTTTTGTCGGTACCGGGGATCGAACTCACGACTGCCTGCTTGCAAGGCAGGCGCTTATGCCACTGAGCTAAATCCCCAGCCCCCGGGATAGACTGTCTTTAACCAGCAGATCTGGGGTCTTCCTGGTGATCCCATGTCCCTCATGGGGAACAAGGAGGAAGATGGGCTTCTCAGCATCAGACTCAGCACAGAGATTCAAAAAGCCCACACAGCTCCAGGCACTGATAGGGGGCAGCTAGAGGAACAGGTAGGGCCTTCCTCAGTGTGCTGTATTTAGCTTACTATGAAATCAGGTGAAGCTGGTGGTATTATCACTACTCTGCCTTGTGGGGCACCAGAGACACAGAGAAGTTAGGCCATTTTTTTTTTTTTTAAACATCACATACTGATGGGACTGCATAGTTCCAGAGACCAGGCTCTTACCACTGTCCTGTGAACTTCTTGGGCTTCTCCCAGGGTTACTCTGGCTTCCTCCAGGAAAAGATCAGCAGTCTTCCTGAGTTTCCAACAGCTTAAGAACTATTTTCGCTTTCCAATGTGAGATGTAAGACTTTCTGTCCTCTCTCTGGTCCTTGCTTTTCTTCTTGTACAGAGTTGCCTGAGTGCAACTTAGCCAGCAGAGCTCCTTGTGGACCAGCGGTGCTAATGGATGGTTAGCACTGCCTGAGATAGGACAGGTGGGTGTTTGCATTTTTCAGAACGAATGAAACAGACCACTGGCATCCAGTAACTTTAATTTAATACAAATTGATCATAACTCACAAAATGGGCAACATCTTTAAATAAAAATACTGTCGGGGATGGCCCAGATTCTGGGACTTGAGAGGGCAGGGAGGGATGAGGATTCCTCTTGCTCGTGGGTATGTGGCAGTTGTGAGTAGGTGCCCCTCAAGTTCAGCTGTGCTAGCTCCTTTGGGATAGTTGTACTCAGAGACCTCAAGTATAGAACCAAGGCCACAGCTCTGGGAAGAAAGGCCAAGGCTACAAAGACATTTTAACTTGGTCTTTCAGGTTCATGCCTTGGGCTGTCATCTCTGGGCAGGAATACAATCACAAGGACACTACAGAGCAAGACACCACAGGACACACCACAGTTGGATGCTATAGCAACAAATGTGGATGGGCACCATCCATGCTAATGCTCTAGTAAGCCTTTTTGTATGGCTGAGGTCAGAAAGAGGAAAACTACATTTCCCAGACTCCTTTGTAGCCAAGGTTTAGAATCTGTCTTGTTTCCATAGAGTCCCTTGTAGCGATATGGGATTTTGAAACCTGAGTTAAGTAGGAGAGGCACACCTCAGGACGTACATTTGCTGGCATGGATGGTGCCAGAGAGCTCTACAAGCAGCAGCTGCTGATGCAGCAACTTCCTGCTGATGGGAGCAGCCTTCCCGGTCACAACAGACATGATGAATCTGGCAGCTGGGAGTTGTTCCTGGAAATTCAGCAAAGACTGCTCCTCTAGCCCTTCCAACAATTTTGAAAGTCACCAGGGAGCTAGTAATAAATCCTCATCTAATTAAGCCAGCTAAAGTGGCTCTTGTTTCTGCAGCAGGATCCTAAGTGAGATAGATGTCAAGTCAGAAGGCAGGACCTAGCCACGGGCCCCTCCTGGAGCGCAGGTCTTGATCAAAACAACTGCATCCAGCACCTTCTCTGCAGCCTAGCAGGTCACAGAGGCTTGGTTGAACAGGGCTGGCTAGACTCTGTCCAAAGCTGCTGGGGACCTTGATCATCCATTGATGCTTGTCCTGCAGATGCGTTTAGCTGATAGACTCTACATCAGTCCCCAGGGTGCCCTTAGGTTGTGGCTAAGAAGGGGGTGACATGGTGACACAGAAACACATGGACTCAGCTACTGGGTGCCTTCCACATGCCACAGCATCCTCTCTGACTTGCTGATCAGTGGGAAAAGAGCTCTTGGTACGTGGGTGGCAGGAGAGGGTGCGCCTCAGACAACTCTAGGAACAGCTATTGCCTATGTACTGTGGGCTTGGTGGGGTAAGGGTAAAATGGTCCGTTGCTAGCTCAGTCAAGGGCAAGTGTTAGGTCACAGACACAGAGGATTCTGTGTATCTCTCAAGTTGTCAACCACTAGCCACATCTGACATATCTTGAGACCAGGGCAGCTGGGCAGGAGGGGGACAGACAGAAGGAGGTAGTCCCCTGCCCTTGAGAGGATGGGGGTGAGGTTGGGCAGGAGTTGCCCTGAGGAGAAGTCATGTCACGTTCCCATCAAAGTCAGAGCTACAGAATATGAATGCTGGGAGGAAGCTTAAGAATCACGGAGCACAACCTCCATCTCACGGACGGGGTAAAGGAGGTGGATGGGTAAACACCTGGCCTGAGGTCTCAGAATGGTGGATGTGGGCCAAGTCCAGGCCTCCTCTGCTGGGCCGGGCTTTTGCTGGTGGTAGTGGCCCAGGAGGCTTTGGGCCCTTGGCACAGATTAGATACGGACTGTATTGATCCGCAGTGGCTGGACATTCTTGCCATTGGCGTGGCTCTGGCCAGGGCTGAAGTAGGAGCAGAGCTTGCCTGGGAACTTCTCACGGAAGGTGTAGAGCCAGGACATGTCATCAGCATTGTAGAAGATAAGCAAGCCCTGGTCATAGTCCAGGAAAACACCCACCTTGTCCAGCTTGTCACGGACATTGAGCCGTGTCCAGGGCTCCGTGCAGGCACTGTACTGGTTACCATCGTGCATGACAATGCAGTAGAAGCCACGGCTGGGCTGGATCTGGATGCTGCCCTTGCGGCTTGCGGCCTCATGTGCCAGCCCGATCACCCACTGGGTCTTCTCTGCCACCACCACCTCCCAGTAATGGACACCGCTACTGAAGGCCTCAGAGCCCAGCACCGACACCTCCACGTCAAAGCGCTTTGGGGAGTCCTGCAGTGGCTGTGGGTGCAGGTTCCCATAGGCCACGATGGTGCAGTCATCAGAGAGGATCAGGCGCTGGTGGGCAGTGCCTGGGTCCAGGGTCAGCGCAGCTGGCACTGCAGGGGATGGAAGAGGGGGAGATGATCAGTGGAAACAAGGCTGTCGAGCCACTTCTCAGTTCTTTCCTGAGGACAGGGTTCTGATTGGGTCCCAAGAGACCACTAACCCCCTGTGTAACCCTAAATATGAGCCTGTCCTCTCTCTGCCTCACTTCCTCCTCTGTAAAACAGAATGGCAATGGCTAAGGTCCTGGTTAGTCACTGCCTGGGGGCCAGGACAAGGAATATACTGGACACTCCACAAATGTGTGTAGAATGAACATGTGAGAACCAGAAGGAGAGAATTTTAGAGCTGGGGGTGGGGGTTAAGTTTAAAGATCACCCAAGTATTGCTGCCCCCTAGAGAGAAATCTGGAAATTTGTGAAGGTATTTGGGTTGTATTCCTGGCAGTGGGATCCAGGGATGCTAAAGACCCTGAATGAAATGCACAGGATGGTCTTGCCCTAGTAGGAAGGACTGTCCATCCCTGATCACCAGCAATTTTCTTTCTTTCCTTTTTTTCCTTCTTCCTTCCTTCCTCTCCCCTCTCCCTTTCTCCCTCTCTCCTCTCTCTCTCTTCTTCCTTCCTTCCTTGGTACCAGGAATTGAACTCAGGGTCCTGTGCTTGCCAGGCAGGCACTGCGCTGCTGAGCTGTATCCCCAGCTCCGCCTGCAATTTTCAAATGTTTCACTAGACTTTCCTACGGACAAAAAACAAACAAAACTGGATCTAACCCCATTATACGAACAGACAAAATAATTCCTGCAGTTTTAATAGATACGGAATGTTCTGGAACATGACAACCAAAGTGAGGGAAAGTTGGATTTTGTGAGGGTGCCTTGAAACTGCATTATGAATTGTTCAGTGTTTTGGAAAATAGGTTTCTAAGGACTGATATAATCTACCTACACACTAGGATGGCATTTGAAGCACAGTGGTGTTTTACCTAGGATATAACCATCTGTCTACTTTGTTATATTTTCTAGCATGGTTCTAAGTGAGCATCTACATATTGATGTAAAATATTTTATTAGTAATACTTTCTGTTTCTCCTTTGGAGTATATCTATATATGTACATATAGTTATACACATACATATATACTTGAAGTTGTGAAAAGGTTACATGATCTTGGATACATTCCAAATTATCTGTTATGACAAGCAGACATATCTGAAAACCGATAATTCTAAGGCAACACTTCCATTTGACAAATGGGGAAACAGACCTGGAAAGGGATTATGACTAACCTTAGGTCAGCAAATACTGACAGAGCTGAGAAAAATCCAGGAGGCCACCATCAACATGGCTCCAGCCCTCTCTGCCATCAGTCACTGGCCACCCTCACCCTACTTAGGCCCAAACCTTTTTCTCCACCCTCCCGACCCCCTGCGGGTTCTCAGCCCCTCTTTGCTACTGGGATCACACATGGGAGCCTTCTCCGGGCCCAGCAGCTGGGCTTCCCTCTCCTTTGGAATCCCTGCACCAAGTCCCTGCACAATGCCTGTCTCCTGTGCCTACATCCATCCAATCCCTTCCTACCAGCAGGGCAAGGACTGTGTACTAGTCACCTCGGCTTTCTTCTGTGTGTCCAGGGTCCAGAGCCTGGCATGGCACAGCCTTGTGGAAAAGCTCAGCAAATTAGGTTAACCCCATTTGGGGTGGGCAGGTGGTACTGGTTGGGTCACCTGTGTCTGGGCTGGCTATACCAGCTGAGCAGGTCTGACCTCAAAAATCTCAAGAACTTTTGTCAAGACCTTTGTTTATTTTCTCTTCTGAGGGTGCTGAAGAGTCAGCCACAGCAGCAGAGGGAATCTGGGCTCCTGTAGTCTGGATGGTCATCGGTAGGCTAGATCGAGACAGAGGGATGGAGTGGGGAGGGGACACTAACTAGTTCCTCAGGGTGAAGGACTTCTCATTCAGTCCCCTTATCTAGTGGAGCAGGGACCTGATGGCACTCGGCTGGAGCAGTACTCCCTGCTCAGGTACTTCCATGGGCTGTGTACATGCAGAGAAACAAAATGACAGTGATGGCGATGTCCCAATAGGGAGCCACACCAGGCCCTGACTGCTTCTGTTCCTTCGTCTACTAACAAACTAACTGCTGGCGTGTGTCAAGCCCCTTCCGTGGTCTCTGTCAGGAGCAAATTTGGTTTTACATTGTGTGCTCTTCTTACTGCTCTTAGAACTCAGAAGGAAGTGTGGAAACAATGCTCTCTGCGAACAGCAAGGTCAACGGCAACACAAGTCTCTATCCAGGGACAAAAAAGAGGGAGCCAGGCGCAGAACGACAGAGAATCAGTGGATGAAGGCTTTGTCTCTAACCTGACAGGTCGCAGGGCAGCAGGTGGAACCCGAGGGCTCTCACTCTGTGGAATGTGGGGAATTCCCACAGCGGGGAGTGTCGGGGAGTGCCGGGAGGAGGTGGAAGGGGGTGTGGGGCTGGGGGAGCCAGGGAAGAAAACTAATTAGATACAGATGGAGCTACCCCAGGCAGAGAGATGTGTGTACAGCAGAGGGGTGAGATGGGCAGGGGGCCTAGGCAGCAGCACTCTGAATGCCAGAGTGGGGGGTTGGGGTGGGGAACCTGGGTTTCATATTCCAGGTGCCCAGAATGATCTGAGACCTGCAACAGGCGAAAACCCAGGCTCGGGGCAGAAGGGTCAAAAGTCTGGCAAGCACACATGAGAACTTAGCCTTAGACTCTAAAGTCTACCTTGGGCAACGCGGAATACTCTTCAGACACTGATGAGCTGGGAAGGCAGCCACACGAGCTCTCCTGTGGCTCTAGAAGCCTACATAGTGGAGGAAATTCTGATCCTACCGAGAACCCACTGTAATTGCACGGGGTGGGACTAGGGGCTGCATGGCTTTCTAGGGGACAAGGCCAGGGGCAGGGCCTGGTATTTTCATTAAGCAGGGGCCGTGGGCTGACGCTAAGGAAGCTTTCACAGCCCTCATCATTATCAGAGGGGTCCTGTCCCCCAGGCCTTCCTCCACCCTCCCCAAGATGGTAACTAGAGTGAGACAAGAAGCGGGTGTGGCAACTCCTGCCCCCTGGGATGGGCTGGCAGCCTTCCCATCCATTCTTTACCCTCTGGAGAGGTGGCAGAACAGCTGTCACCTCTATTTTACAGGGCAGAGCTTATTTCTAGGTCATGGGACTTTGAATTTGGAAACACGAAAATGCCATCATGAGGCAACTGACTGATCTCCAGGTGTGAAGCCTCTCTGAGGCCTGGGTGCAGAGGCTTGCAGCAGGGGTCAACCACTGTGCAGGCTACAGGAAATGCTTCCCGGCCCCTGTCAACTACCCCCCAAGTATCAGAGAAAGCTCTGCCGGACACAGCCCAGCACCACTCTTGGCTGCCAGTAGCCTGTGTTTCTTCATTCTCAAGAACAGGGGACCAGGGGTGGTGGGTTGGAAATGTATTCACTTTTTTCTCTAGCCAGGCTTTTAAATAATCTGGGGGCTTGGGGCTGGGGTTTTAGCTCAGTGGCATAAGCGCCTGCCTTGCAAGCAGGCAGTCATGAGTTTGATCCCTGGTACCAATAAAAATGAAAAAGACCAAAAAAAAAAAAAAAAAAAAATCTGGGGGCTCCAACCTACTCAGGCCCTTGGCTGCATAGAGCAGACAATGCAGAAATCTTCATATGCTCTACCTCCTGGGAACATAGTGTAGTCCTAGGGGTACATATCACCACTGTACCTATTTGACAGAAGAGGAAACTAAGGCTCCCTGAGGTAAATGGTTTGCTCAAGTTGTCATTTGCAGTGAAAGCAGAGTTGGAATGTGGGCTGAGGTCTTTTTACATCCTGTTCTCTTTCTGGTAGCCCCAGAAAGCCTGCTCAGCAAGACAGAGGAACCATTTGTTAGCATTGTTGTAAGTACCAAGTAGTTACTATATTACAGGATTATGATCATTAAGGAATAATTTGATTCTTACAGTTTACTATGGAAAATATATGCAACTAACCCTCTTCTAGAATGAGGAAAGTGGGTACTTTGCCTTGGTTCACACAGTCAGGCAGTAACATGCTGGGACTCAAAGTGATCGGGTACAGGTGAGCAGGGGAGGGAGCAGGCAGCCCCAGGGAGGAGGTGGGGGTGGTGAGAAGAGCAGTGTCTGGTGTCCCTGGGACAATGGCTGCCTGGCCCACAGGGGAGGCTCCCTCCTGGAAGCTGGGGCTATCAGGTCTGGCAGGCAGAAGGGGGGCAGTGGGAGGTGCACGGCAGGGGTGGGTGGTGGTTGAGAGAGGTCACTCCAGAGCAGGGGAGTGACAGGTGCCAGATGGGGTTCTCAGGGGACCCAGTAGGAAGCCGGAGCTTTAGGGGAGGGGCTGGCAGGCAGGAAGCTGCTAGAATCCACAGCCCAGTCCCTGGGGATGCCCCTCCCGCCTGCACATAAAGGACTCTGGTGCTGGCAGGGAAGCCAGAGTGACTTCATAGGCCCCATAGACAAAGGAAGGGGCCCAGTGAACAGGGTCACTGTTCTTTGAAGTCCCAGGGGCCTCTGGTCTGAGCAGGATGCTCTCTTCTGTGGACAGAGTGCTCTGGCGCAATGGTTCTCAACTCAAGCACTTTTGCTTTCTGGGGGACAACTGGCCGTGCCCAGAGACACTCATTACTAGGACCGCCATGCACACAGGACAGTGGCCAGGCAGGCTGCCTAGCATCTCACCAAGTGTGTAGGGCAGTGCCCACAACAAGGCTTCACAGTCATTGTGCTGAGGTCAAAAACCTTGCTGATGAGCCATCAGCAATCTGCCTCCCTGGCTGCTGCCTTGTGAGCAAGGTGAAGAGGAACATGGCGTCGTCCCCTTTGTCCCTGGAAGGGACTTGTCCAAGACTGGGCTGCAAGTTTCTTCATTCAGTATTTACTGGGCACCTGCTATCTGCTCGGCACTATTCCAGAAGCAGAACTGGGACTAGGACTCATTCTTTTTATTCCTCAACAAATACTGACTGTACCAGCTTCTAACCCCTCAGAGTTCACAGTCCAGACAGGGCCACCTACAGAGACACTAACAAAACCGTGAAACTGGAAAAGTCCAGGACTGCCTGGAGAAATCCAGGAAGGCTTCTCAGAGGAGGAGTTTAAAAAAAAGTGACATGTGAAGGAAAACAGAAGTTGATTATCAAAGACCAAGGACAGCATAGAGGGCTCCAGACAAGGGGAACAACGTAAGCAAAGCTGTGGAAGAGAATGTGGCTCACCAAAGGCCTAAAGATGGTTCACTGTGGCTGAGTGCGATGGAGGGAAGAATGAGAGGCTGAATGCCATGCTGAGCTGCCTAGACGGACTCTCTGAACTGTGACAGGAATGCAGCAGGTGGCAGCTGAGGCTATGAGTGCCCCCTAGACCATCTACCTGAGGGGTTCCCCTGGAGCTGGGGAGAGAATGGGGGCTGACATTTTTGCCTTCCTTGAGTAACGCTGCTTCCATACAGGTACCCCCATCTTCCTGGCCCCGTGTGATGTCCCTCTGGGGCTGGGAGTAGAGAGTGAGCTCTACCCCAGGAGGACACTCAGGGCACCATCCAGTCCACTAGAGAATGAGTCCCTCCCTGCTCCCTGTGGCTCCTTTGTGAAAAAGGGTACAGAGTGACATGTGGGAGCACTAGGGACCTCCTTTCACATCTGTGAAATCAGTCATGACCTATCTGGTGAGGCCCCAGTCACCTGTAGGGGAGCCCCAGCTCTGGGGTCCAGCATGCACTCCACACAGTGACTGCCCTGGTCCCTGGCCATCCTTCCAGGTCCTCCGTGTCGTGGGGTCACCATGCCACAGGCCCCCACACCCCTCAGCTTCAGCACCCAGGCCCAACACCTGTTCTGACCCTTGCCCCTCATCTCCTGTTGTCCCTGCGGGCTCCAGGCACCTGTGAGTGCCTTGTCTCACTGGACTGCTGCAATTTGGTTGCTTGTGTCTCCTCTGACCTCTAAAAGTGCTTCAAAGGACTTTTACTGGTCATAGAATGCAAAGGAATGAATCCAGACAGGTAGAAATGTGAATCCTGTGTGACCTTAGAAAATGAGTGAGCTACTCTGACCCTCAATCTCCCCCACAGTCCCCGGGTGACACATGTAAGACCACAGAATGTACGACTACAAACTAATTAGCTTAGTTTGTAGGAGCACAGGCTCTGGGATTTGCTTTAGAGTTTTAATGTTGGCTGCACCATTTAAAATTGTGACCATGGACAGGTTCCTAACAGCTCAGTGCTTCCGTTTCTTCATCTGAGAAGGCGGGGCATTAATAATGCTCCCTCTTAGGAAGAATTCCCTTCTGCGCTGTCTTGCTGACTCAGGCATACACAGGCTTCCCCGCTGTCTGAAGACTTGAATCTGCCCTTGTGGGTTCAGGAAGACACTGAATCTTAGGCTGTGCTAACCCAGTTAGAGACCCATGTAGGTCCTTCCGAGTCCACGCAGACTTCTTATTACCTACTTCTCATCTCAGCTGGGAAAGGTGGAGCCATCAGAAGACAGCCACTACAAGCTCCCGCCTCTCTGTCCAGCGCCACAGACTCTACTTTCTCTGGGCATCTGGGGATGGACTATCAGCCTCAGTCTCACAGCAGATCCCACGCTGGGCGGCGGCCAAGGCCACGGCTCCAGCAGCTCTCTCCATCTTGATTCTGCCCTTCTATTAACTCTACCGTCACCCACAAGTAGGCTCTCATTTATTCTCTCTTGCAAAAACAGCTGCTGGCACATTCTCTCTCCTTCAAAGTGTCATCTTTACTTTATTAAAAAGCTTTTGCACAACATAAGAAATCACCAATGGAGTGAAAACACAACTTGCAGAGTGGGAAAAAATTATAGCCAGTCGTCCCTCAGACAAAGGACTTAAATCTAGAACATAAAAAGAACTAAAAAAAATCAGATCCCCCAAATTCAAAGACCCAACACAAAAATGGGCATCTGATATGAATATGTACTTCTCAAATGAAAAAATGCAAATTGCAAATAAATACATGAAAAAATGTTCAACATCATTGGTCATTTGAGAGATGCAAATTAAAACAACACTGAGATTCCATCTCACTCCAGAAAGAATGGTTATCATCGAAAAATCAACTGCCAACAAATGCTGGCAGGGGTGGGGGAAAAAGGCACGCTTCTCCACTTTGGTGGGAGTGTAGACTGGTACAATCATTGTGGAAATCAGTGTGGAGATTCCTCAAATAACTAGGACTAGAGGTCCCATGTAACCCAGCTATTCCCCTTCTTCCCAGAAGAATTAAAAACATCATAGTACAGCCATATATGTGTGCCTGTGTTTATAGCAGCAGTTTGTAATAGCTAAATCTTAGAAACAGCTCAAATACCCATCAACCGAGGAATGGATAAAAAAGATTTTTTTAATATAATGGAGTACTACTCAGCCATACAGAAGGATAAATTTTATAGGTAAATTCATGCAACTTGAGACCATACTCGTATGTGAAACAAATCAGACACATATATGCAAATATTGTATTGCCTCGCTAGTGTGAGAGGCTGAATGAGTAAGTAAGATCCAAAATGGACAGTAGATATTGTGAACTGGGAAAAAACTGTTCGAAAGAAAAGGCAAACTGTGATGGAAAGGGGAAAGCAAGAAGGGGAAAAATAAAAAATATATTTATATATGGTTAGGACAGTTATATAGTTAGTTTCTCTTAGTTCACTGAAAAGAAAGGTTTGTGCTAATATTGTTCAGACAAGATATCATGCCTGTATCTCTGTTTGGTGCCAGGAATTGAACTCAGGACCTCATGCTTGCCAGGCAGGTGCTGTGCCACCGAGCTATATCCTCAGCCTCCTTGTGCCTGTATCTTGTACTGTGAATAACTACTAGGAAGACAATACCCAATGCATTAATTATTGTAACTCTCCTACTGACCTGTTTTGAAACTCTGTTTTATTGTTATTTTTTTCTCTTTAAAATTAAAAAAAGTGTCACCTCCACCCCTTATCTCCCGTTTTCTGTCCTCCTCCCCTTGGCCTCCAGGATGCTGTGCTGCCCTCCTACCTCGCTGGCTGCTCCTTCGGGTCTTCCTGGCTGAGCCCTCTGTCTGTCCCCGACTTCTAGAAGTGCTCCTGGTTCCAAATGCCACAGTGGCCCCCTCTCTTCTCTATCATCTTTACTTCCCAGATGACCCATCCAGGCCCACTAACTGCTGTCCTTGTACTGATGACATCGGCCCTGATGTATACATCAGGCTGCATACTTCATTCCAGTGGCCTTTCCAACACCTGCATGAGGCCTCAATCCTGTTGGCGCTCCCTCTAAATACATCCTAACCCTGACCACTTCTCACTGCCCCCTGGCAACACCACTCTCCAAGTCACCATGGTTATGCAGTTGTCTCCTCCGGCCTTTACCCCTTCCAGTTTATCCTTATCCTGGAAGCCAGAGGGATTTTTTAAAACCTCAGACTGCTTCACGTTATATCAATGCCCCAAATTCCCCAATGGCTTTGGTCTCAACATAGAATTTGAAGTACTCACCCTGCTTTTCTCCTCCACTCTCCCTTACCATCCCAGTCCAAGCCACCTGACCCCTTTTCCTGTCCCTTGAACACGTCAGGCAAGACTCTGCTTCCCTGCATCTGCTGCTCTTCCCTCTGATACGTACATGGTTTACCCTCCTTTCTCCGATCTCTACTCTGATGCTTCCTTCTCCTTGAGGTCTTCTATCTGAACCCCCTATCTAAAAGCTCTATCCTAATTTAACTTCCTTGAGCTCCCTTTCTTTTTCTTCATCAGTATCTAACACGTTACGTGCTTTTTCACTTACTCCTTTGTTTACCTTCTTTCCCCTACCCTGGGATGTAAGATCTGCAGGAGAGAGGTTGTGCCTATTTTGATCTCCCCTTGATTTCAGCACCTAGAACAGTACCTGGTGCGGGGAAGGTGCTCTGCCTGTACTGTGTTTAGAATGAACAGATGATGTGCCCAGGGCCTCAGTAAGAAGGTCCCCGAATTATGATGATTCCATTCATGATTTTTCAAGTACAACGGGGGAAGAAGTGACACAAACTGTATCTCGAGTTCTGAACTTCAGTCTTTCTCCCAGTGATGCCCACACAGGGTGTGATATTCTCAGGCAATGCTGGGCATCATGGTAAGCCACATAATCATGTGGGAAATAAAATAGGGTCCCCTGAGTTGCTAAGCTAGGATGCTCAGTGGATTAGTCATGTTAATAGTGTTTTTGACTTGGGATATTTTCACCTTACAATGGTTTACTTATTAAGATGCAACCCTGCTGTCAGCGGAGGAACATCTGTACCTCCATGAGGGGAATGGTATACTGTGGAGCCTGTGTCATGGTCCTGTGAGCATTTACTGAGCTGGGCGATTGGTGAGTGTTCAGCACAGCCCTGGGGCACAGCAAGTGCTCAGCAAAGCACTCTGCTCATTCTCTGTTCTGGCCCCTGCTATGTTTAGGGGAGGGGAGGGGCTGGGCTGGGCTGGGCGTGCCCACCTGAGTCCACCTGGATAACCCATGACTCTCCTAGGGCCTCTCAGGTAGTGGTGGGCAGGGCCTCACCTGGATGGATGTCCTGGAACAGGGACTTCCAGATGGTATACTGCAGAGGGCCTGTGTACTTGGATGTTGGGAAGTCTTCATACGTCAGGTTGGTCTCGTGGATTTTTCCCTTAAGCCTGGAAGGACAGCAGGAGAGAAGGTTGTATTGGGTGGGGACTGGATTCTTGCCTCACTGCTGGGTCTTTGCAGTGAGAAGCCTCAGGACTTGGGTGAAAGTGTCATACCATTTCCGATCTCTCTAGCTGTTACTCTCAGTTTTCTAGTCTTTTATTTTATTTATTTGTTTTGGTACCAGGGATCGAACTCATGACCTCGCGCTTGCCAGTCAGGTGCTTATGCTGCTGAGCTAAATCCCCAGCTCCAATTTTCTAGTCTTTAAAATGAGTAACAAGTTAGCACCTGCCTTCTAGGGTTGTTGTAAAGATCACATAACATAACGTACCAGACACTTAGCTTGGCTTTAGGGCCAACACCAAATGTATGATGTTAGCAACCCATGTTATTATTGAGGGTGGTTTTGGGGCAGAGTGATTTGAGCATGAGTTTTGGCTCCATCTCGGTTAGGGGTCTAAGCCAACTGATCTAGCTTCTCTGCATTTCAGTTTCTACATGTATGAAACAGGGATGACAGTGGCCACCACCTACAAGGGAGCTGACAGAATTATAATAATATAAGGCCTTTACAGAATAACAGCATCAACATTAGTATAAATAACATGATGCGTTACAGGTAAGTATATATTGTATATATTACTATATATTACTTGTTCATTATAATGTAGACAGAATGTATCATATACAGACCAATACAACTACATGAGGCATCAGCACAAGCTGTGGCACATAACAGATGCCCCACAAAGGATTCACAAAGATATGAATAAATGGATTCTTGCTGACAGCTCCATCTGCCTCCACCTCACTACCTCATACAGGTTGGGAGAAGCTGGCCACTCTGGGAAGGCCCCAGAAGTGGCACTTACCGCTCAGAAAGGGAGGCCACACCAGCCAGGAAGGTGTGCCGGTCGGTCTCAGCCAGCCGCTCCTGCAGGATCTGGGCACCCTCCTGGACCTTGCGCAGCTGCTGGCTGTAGCGCTGGACCTTCTGCTCGATGTCGGTCAGTGTGCGTGCTGTGTCCGCCTCCAGCTCCTCCAGCATGGCTTTCTGCCGCTCCCGTAGCAGCCGGTGCAGCCGCTCGAAGGCCTCGCCGATGGTGGTCCGCAAGCTCTTGGTGGAAGACTGTGGGGGACAGTTGTCAGGGGTTATGGCAGGGGGAGCACTGGGGTGATTCCGAAGGGAGAGGGAGAGACCGAGAGGTTTGGCACACAGCTGGAAAGGGTAGGAAGGAGCACCTGGTGAGGATGGCACATGTGGGCCTGGCATGGCCAGGACAGCACAGAGTTCCACGTGGTCCTCTAGGGTTGTGGAGGTTAGGGTTGAGGACGCTGCTCAGATTCTTGGCATGGGGGTGGGAGAGGCTGGGCAGGGAGAACCGCTACAGCCAGTCTGGGATATACAGAACTCTTTGTTTTTAGCACTTATCTGTGGTGCTTTAGAGGAGATTGCTGGGGCCCAGAATCTGTAATAAAGGGGCACTCAGACTGGCGCTGGTTTGCCCTGGGAGCCCAGAGGCATGCGGAAGATGTGCTTGCCTCCAGCATGGCAGATCAACCCACAGAACCCTGAGGGAGGTAAGGATGCGGTGTAGCAGCAGTAGTAAGAGTTCTGCTTGGGGAAAAAACAGTTTTCTTACTGATCTTTGTTTCTTTATTCTTTTTACTAGTCCACAGCATTCGCCACCCCTTTCTAGGCAAAGTACCCTACCCCCTCTGAAAATGTGCGCATGTGCTCAATAGTGGCAAGCTTGGAGAGGCTTTGTCTTTGCCCATCCTGAGGCAGTGACCTCCAGCTTCCTGTGCATGCATTACTAAATTATCTCTGTCTCTTATTTTATCCTTCACTGTATCCCTCATACAGGCAATTGGGGCTCCTGGGCAGCTCCCTGCCAGGAGATGACAAGATCATGGAGGTCAGAGAGCTTCATAAAGTGCAATGGGACATTGGTGGTCACTTGCCTTTCGTGCCACTCCTAAGATTCCACAGGTAAGGAACAAGAGCTAAAGTATAAGGCTTTTGTCACAAGAAGTAAGCACAGATTTGCATGGCTCTCTCTGCCCAGTGGGTACTGCAAGGCTCCAGAAGCACAGGTTTTGATGCCTGGAAGCCCAGGGAACAGTCCCAGCTCTGGTCTCTAGCTGGGGGCAACCTCAGTGGCCTAAACTCTATGAATTTCAGTTTTCCTGTCTGAAAGGGGTAAAATAACAACATGGCGGGGGGTGGTGAAGTTGAAGTAAGGAATGTTCATCCACTCAGTGGCCAGGTCTCAGGTATGGAGAAAGAACTTGGTTAAAGCAAAGGGATCAGTATTAACAGGTGTGTCCTGGGAGTCCTCATGGAGAATAGACTGCTAAGCTGGGCCTAAGGACGGGCATGGTGTCAGCTGGGGTGCGTGCATGTGTGTGTGTGGTGGGGGGCGGGCAGGCAGAGGGAGCAGCCTAAGGAAAGGCAGGAAGCTAGGACACACGGGATACTGCAGCATGTGGGGCCTTCCTCTGCAATTTCACTTCATGGGATTCAGGCTGGCAGTTCACGGAGTCAGAGACCCCACTGTGCTCAGTGCCCAGGGCTCTGCGGGAAGCTTCACAAAGGCCCAATTAGGGCTTCTTCCCTCCCGCTCAGCTGCTGGCCTGCAGGAAGAAGGCTGGCAGTGGGCCAACCTCCCTGCGCATGCCCACCCAGTGTGCTGGGCAGACAGAGTGGAGGGGGGGCTGGGATGGATGGCCAGGCTGCAGGGGCCTCCCCGAGCTCCTCACCCAGGGGAGCGCTGCTGAGGCCCACTGTGATGGGAGGGTGAGGTCTGCTCCATCCCTCCACTCGGCATTCTCCTGCGCTGCCCCCAAGGTCCCCAATCCATTGCTACCTGGCGTGGCTTCTGCAGCAGCCTGGACCATCAACCCCTACTGCTGACTGAAAGGCTGGTTCAGCCTCTCCTCTCTGGGTGCTCTTCCTCTGCCACTTGAGCTCCTGGAGTTGCTGCAGGACAACTCCTTCCTACCATCCTGCATCCCTTCCCTTCTCCTCCATGCCTACTGTTCTGAGGATGGCTACCAAGTCCACAACATGGGTTTCTGAGCAGCACATCTCTTTGCCAACTATCTCCTCAACACATCGCCCTGGGGTCCCACAGGTCCCTCCAACTCATTTGGTTCACATGGCCACTCCTGTCTTTGTCCTCAAATTCACTGCCACAGTGATCCTTCTAAAGTATAAACTGTGTCATAGCCCATACTGTGTTTAAGAACCTTTCTTAGCTCTTTGACAATAGTAAAATGCCAAAATGCCTTAGCCTAGGTGTCAAAGCCCTTCTCAAGTTGATTCTAACTTATCAATACATTGCAATTTTACCAATCCCTGAGATCAGTTCCTCCCAGTTCTTTATTCAGGTGGCAAGCTCCTACTTATTCTGCAAGACCCAATTTGAGAGTTACTTCCTCTGAGATACCTTAACATTTTCATGAAGTTAGATGTCCCCAGAGTCTTTTGCAAACACTCTTAATACATGGTCCTTCGTGTTGTATTGCTCTAGCTAGTGGATGAGATGCTGCTGGGTAGGAATGACATTTCCTCTGTCGGGGCTGGCAGTCAAGAGCTGTTGAGTAGTAAAGAAGGGACAATTTTGTTCAAGATGGCTTCACAAAGCTGGCACAGGCACTATTTTCTTTCTTTCTTTTTTTTTTTTTTTTTTGTCTTTTTGAGACAGAGTCTCACTGTGCAGCTCAGACTGGCCTTGAGCACACTTTGTAGCCTAGGCTGGTCTTGAACTCACAACAATCCTCCTGCCTTAGCCTCCCAAGTACTGGGATTACAGGTGTACACCAACACACTTGGTTCAGGCTCTATATTCTTTCCAGGCTGGGAAATCAAGTGTCCCAAGGACACGAGAAGATGGGTAGACATGTGAGGGGAGGGGCACATCAGAGTAATAGCCATGGTGGTGTTCCTGAGCATGCCATGATTGGTTCTCCATCCAGCTTGCTGGCCACAAAGCCAACATCCTTCAGGGGACACCCCAGTGTGAGGTTGGAAAATGCCTTGGGCTCTGGAGAAACTACATAGGATGCTCTTAATTTCCACTTACTAGCTGTGTAGCCTCAGGCTGGTGCCTCAACTTCTCCGTGTTTCAGTTTCATTGTTGACAAAACTGGGATAACAACAGCGCCTGCTCCCACTCCAAAGAGTGTTTTATTTTTCTTTTCATTCATTTGCTCTACAACTGCTTATTGTATGTCTGACTCTGTGCTAGATTTTGCAAGTCTTGCTGTGATATAGGTGACACTCTGTGGCTTCAGCTAAACAATGAAGGGAAACACAATTCTCAGCACAGGGAAAGGTTCAGCTCCACAGGAACATCTCAGTTGCTTTAGTGCTTTGGAGGGCAGAGCCACCCTTTCTCCCCACTCTCTTTTTGGTGCCTTGACTGGAAAAGCAGCCTCCGGCCCAGCAGACCACAGCCCCTGGAATACACGGGGCCTGGGGAGGCTGCACCCTGCCAAGGATACATCACACCCCAGGGCCAACCAAGGAAAAACACAGGGCCTGAGGAGGGAGGTCAGACCGCCCCCAGGCTAGGCCACTGGAGGGGCAGGCGCCACAAGAAAGCGAGTCAGGCACCAGGTGAAATATGACCTCAAAGGCTCCATAGGCATTTCTTGTATAAATACCCTAGTCCAGACAGGAAGCAGGCTGGGGGGGAGGGAGCCCCACAGGACCCCCCAGAGGCAGACAGATGGACAGGAAATCTGAGGGGAAGAGGTCAGTGGAGAAAAACAATGGTGAAGGGAGAAGAGGCAAGAATGCTGCCAGAGGAGAGAAAAACAGACCCTTGGGTTCCCGCTCATCCAGAGAGAAGCTTCCCTTTGCTTCTTAGCCCTGGAGAGGTAGAGGCACCAGATACAAGGGGGAAAATGAGGCTGTGCAAAGCAATGAGACCACAGAGTGCTGTGATTGTTTCTATGGAGGGTCCTACTATGAGACACTTTGGAATGTTCTGGAAGAAAGTGTGTCATGCTCTGTCTGGGACTCCATAGTGGATTGATGGCCATGCTAAGGTACAAATCTAGGTTTTTAATGGCCTCTCCAGGCCCCCAGCTGACCTCTGGAGGCCCGGGTGTTCCCAAGGCTGCCTCCAGCTGCACAGCTCTCTTGGGGGAGCAGAGCCAGCCTGAAAGACCCTAGATGTCACTGTGCTGAGCTCCTGGGGTGGAGCTGCTGAGGGAGAGTTGAGGAGGCTCTGCCAGGCTTCTTCCAGTCTGAGGTTCTGAATTGACCCTGCAAAGGCTCAATTGTACAGATGCAAAGACTGAGACCCAGAAAAGTGCCTGGATCAGAACCCATATCCATCCTCTCTGCTGTTTTTCTGGTCCGCATCTCTATTGCTTCAGCCCAGGAGAAGAGATGCCAGCCAGGTTGGCTTAGAGGGGACACGCTTAGAGTTGGCTCCTTACGGATGTGTTTAACAAGGGCTAAATTCTCCCAGCCCTTTAGGACACTGGAGGTTCCTGGGGATCCCAGGTCTCACATCAACTTCCATTCAAAGTGAGGCGAGGTGGCCCTATCGGTAATCCAGATACCTGCCCTTAGATACTATGTGGTCTTATTTCGACAGAGCACCCCGCCCGGCTTCCCCTCTCTTCCTCTGTCTTCCTCATTTGGCCACTAGAAGCCAGGCCGTTTATGGACGGAGGCCCCGCCCATCTCTGTCGGCCCCGCCCCCAGGTCAGGCCCAGCTCACCTTAGTCTCCGCGAGCTGTCGCTTGAGCAACTGCAGTGCCTCGGTGTGCTCCCGCTCACTGTCCTGAAGGGCCTGAAGCTGCTCCTTCAGCTCCCTCTGGAACACACAGGGGTGAGGTATGGGGGTGCTGGCTTTCTGTGGCGATGGGGAGCCCAGTCTTGCCCACTCTTGGGTGTTATCCTGACCGCATCCATCCTTGGTCAGCTCCAAGATACTCCTCAAGTAACAGTTCAACCAGCAATTCCTGTAGAGTCTGTATCCTAAATATCCCCCAGAATCGGTCCCCATCTTTCATCCGGATGTTTGCAAAGCTCTTTGCTGGCTGTCTTGGGGCTTCTGGTCTCCCTGACTGGGGGTTACCGCCACCTTCACAGTATCCCTGTCCTGACCCTGCTGCCGCTGGTTCTGTACTCAGACCTTTGGTGGAAACCAAGGCTGAGCCAGAGCCCAACAGCTACTGACTAACTACCCACAGCCTAAGCCTTCCCCCTGGCCTCCATACTACTCTCAACCCTGTGCTTGTAAAAATTCACCAGAGCTTCTCAGCAGCTCTAAGACAGGCACTAGGATTATCCTCAATTGCAGCAAAAGGCCCACAGAGAGAGGCCAGGCCTGATGGCACACACTGGTAATCCCAGCACTCGGGAGGCTAAGGCAGAAGGAACATCGTGAGTTTGAGGCCAGCCTGGGCTACAAAGTTAGTTCAAGGCCAGCCTGAACTGCACTGCACAGTGAAACCCTGTGTCAAAAAGACCAAAAAAAAAAAAAAGAAAAAGGCACAAAGAGGTAAAAACAAAACAAGCAAGCAAAACAAACAAACAAAACAAACAAACCACAGAGCCAAACATGTAAATATAAAGCCAGAAAGGAACCATAATATTGCCTACCCTCACCTTGAGTACTGGGATTATAGACTTGCACTACCCCCCCCCCCAGTTTGGAAACCACGATTTTGAAGCCAGGTAACATTTTTCTTACAATAGTGACACCTATGTATGATGATCAACAATAACAAATCCACAACAGACAGGACATTGCCATTCACAATAAAAACAGAATCTGTATTACAGGTTTCTTTGTCTCACACGGCACTGCTAGGAACGTTGGCCTTATTTAAACATTTGGTATTTTGTTCCTTATGGATATTTTGCATTATTTTTGATTGAGGAAAGACTTTTAATATTTGCGCTGACTGTGTTTTGGCACCTGCTCCACTCCTGCACCTCCCTCCCTTCCCCCGGTCCCACTTCGGTCTCCACCACCTCTTTTTTTTCATTCCTATTCAGCCAAAGCAGGCTTCTTCCTGTTCCTCTGTCACCCTGACCTTGCCCAACCTCAGGGCTTCACACTGGGTGGTTTCTCTGGCTGATGCCTTTCTCTGTCAGACTGCCTCATAGTGATTTCTCTGTGTCATTCATCGAACTCAGATGCCACCTTTCAGAGTCTCATCTGACCACCCCATGGTCACCTCCATCACAGGCCAGGTGTCATGTCTTCACAGCCCTCCCACTCTCTGAGATGACCTGAAACATTCCCCTGCCTGAGTGTTTACCGCTCATCCCACTCACTGGACTGCAAGCTTCACACAGGCAGGAATCTCATCTGGCTTGTTCTCTGCGGTTTCCCCAGTACCCAAAGTGGCGCATAACATATGGCAGGGCCTCCAGTAGTATTTGTCAGATACCTGAATGGGATGTGGTGGGTGTTCCCCAGCACAGGGTCCAGCTGCCTGCACTTACTGAGCTGCAGCCAGTTGTCCTCCTGTCTGCCCCTCCTCCCTCCCCGTATTAGCACATGAGTCCTCCAGGGTAGGTCCCTACTTCTCCCTCTCTCTAGGTTCTATACCCAGCAGCCACCTGGCACTGAGCTAGGGCTCCAGGAAGTTTGCCAGGTGAATGAATTGCCATGGAAACAGCCTCTGAGCAGCGGTTAAGATCCCCCAACAGCTTGGGTTGAGTGGTCCCAGGGAAGCTGAGCTATCAGTTTATTTCCCCTTCCTCCCACTCATTTGTCTTAGTAGACTAGGGAGGATCCTCAGCAAACATCTGGTTCAACTAATTTTAGACTGGCAACATGGACAAATGGTTATGATGACATGCTAAGAGAAGAATGCAGAAAACAAAATTATCTTTGCTTACTATTGCTTATTCATTTAATAACTATTTATTGACCAACTACTATGTACCAGGTACTGCTGAAGCACTGACATTTTGGCAGAGAGCAACACAGATACAGTCTCTGCCCACTGGGGGTCCTATCTCAAGCTAGTGTAGAAGACAGGCAATCAACAAAAAAAATAATCAGAGTGTGGGGTGATTACTAATAGGCTTTGGACCCCAGAAACAAATCAAGCAATATGGGATGAGGGAACAACTTTACATAGGGCAGTCAGGAAGATTTCTTGAAGCACATAACACGAAAGATGGCAGCCAGGGGATGAGGAGGAGCCAGCTGTGAAATCAGGGGAAAGAAAAATAGAAGCTGCATGTTTTACGAGAGGAGAGAACTTGTACAGACATAGTGGCTGGAACTCCAGCAGCCATCTCAGGCCATGAGGCAACTATAAAGATGGAAGTCATAAAGTCAAACTGGAAGCGCAGAAGGAAGGAATCTGGGCTCTCAACTCTGGGGCAGCTACACCCTCACTAGACACAGTGATGTGTAAGAAGCTGGTTCTCTAGAGGGAAAAGAAAACAGACAAGGAGAATAGGGAGGGAGATGGGGAGAAGGCAAGAGGAAGCTGGAGAGGAGGAGAGATCGGTTCCCATACGATCTTGCTACCAAAGCAGTTCTTCAGCATTTCTGAGAAAGCCACAGAAGCCACGTTCCTCACATCGCTCAGACCCCTGGGGGACATGCACAAATTCCTCCCTGATGCTGGAGTCGGGAACACAGACCGAGAGCCGGCCTTCCCCTTCCTCGTGGATCTAGGAGCAACACAACACACATTCACCCATTCCACCACCAGGTATGCCGTGCTGTGTGAGGGATGGGGCCACGGAGTCAGACAGGGATACAGGCACCCCAGTAAAGCGGGGATGGTTCAGCACCCCCTCCAGACGTGCCCCTCCTCACTGGGGAGAGACGCTGCCTACCTCAGGGAAGGGCACATGCCCACACCGTCCCAGCCTGATACCTGGGAGCCATGCGTGACAGACCTGCCACCCCCAAACCAGCCCCACTGGTCACTAGGTTTGCTCTGGAATCTGTTCCCTCCTCTCTATACCGATTGCTCCATTTTCATTGCTTCGTTTTGGGACTGAGGCCCCAGGTTCTCCCCAACGGGCTTCCTATAGTTCCACAAGGTAGAGTGACACATTTGTCCATGTCACTTTCTCAAGCCCTGTGCTTCTCAGCAGGAATTCCACCGTGTCTGGGAAGACGGGTGTAAGGCCTTAGGGCAGCATTCAAGGCCTTCCCCAGCAGCGCTGGCCCTCCTCAGCCTTACCTCTGGGTTCAGACCTGCACTATCCCACAAGGTAGGCAGGAGGCCCATGTGACTATGTAAATAGCAATGAAGTAGAATTAAATTGAAAATTTAGATCTTTCATTGCACTGGCCTCATTTCAAGTGCTCAATAGCCACATGGGAACAGTGGCTACCATGTCACAGAGGAGATGTAAAACTTCCCAGTGTTCCAGAAAGTTCCACAGGACAGCATGGAGCATCTTGCACTGGTCTCTGTCAGGCCTTTACACAGGCCTGTGTCTAGCACACTCATACATACTTCCTCCCCCACCTGCGGGACTTGTACTCATCTCTCACAACCCAGACCAACACTTCAGTCCCCACCAATCCGTATCCCCAAGTCCCCCAACTGTTATCAGATGCTGTTCTGTGCATACAAGGCCCTGTCCCCTGCACCCTTTGGTACACTCTGCCTTTCAGCTGCGGGGTTACCCATACGGTGGGCCTCTGAGGGCAGGACATATTCTCAGTACCAAGGACAAGGAGAGGGCCTGGGATAAACCAGCCTGCAGCTTTTATAGGAATAAGCTGCCTAGTGAGAAGGCTCAGCTCGGTCTGAGCTCCCTCTGAAAGGGTGAGAGTGGAGAGGAATCCCCAAAGGCAGGACTCCCCAAATGGCTCAACTAATTTAGGAAAACTGAACACTACACCCCACAGAGCCAGCCTCTGAGTTCTGTGTCACCCTACCCCACAGGTCTCCTGTAAGCTTGAACTCAAGACAGCCTTAGGAGGAGGCTGGCTCTGCCACTTCCTCATTAGGTGTGTGTTGTCCATTGCCTAGGAGATCACCTACCCTGTCTGTGCCACAGTCCCTCAGCTGCAAAATGGGTAGTGAAACCTCACAGGCCTGGAAGGGTGGACTGAGATAACGGCAGGAAATGCCCAGCCTCCTGGGGCACAGAGCCCGGCAGCACACCCTGGGAGATGCAGGGGTCCTTGTGTACCATGTGAGGGTCCTCAGTGGCTTCTTCATGTCCTTGCCCCATGCTGTGTCCAGGTGGCCCTCCCTGCCTTCTCGGGTGGCAAGAATAGGAAGGGGCGGAGGGACCATCTGGTCTAGCCCTTATAATTGCCAGCACAGGAAACAGAAGTCCAAGGAGAGGGACTGATTGGCCCACAGCCACACCAATTGTCAGTGGAGAATAAACTGGAGTGTTTACTCCCAGCTGATGGCTCAAACAGGAAACAGGAACCTGTTAAACTCCCAAGAGACAGATCCAACCCAGAGGAAAGATATTGTGACCATGACCACGGCAGAGGCTTAGGCCCACAGGGCATGGAGGTGGGCGTGGTTCTGATCTGAATTTCACAATCATTTATTCTCACTATTAGGTGAAGAAAAATTGAGGATCAGAAAGGCTGCACAGCTTTCCTAGGCTCACACGGCTAGTACAAAAGAAGGGAGCTTCTGAATGACTCCTAAAACACGGGTTTGAAACCTCTGTGCCTCCCATTCAACTCAACACATCAATAGCTTTGGAGCACACACTGCGTCAGGCTTTGTGTTGTCCACTCAGGCTGGGGGACATTTGTGACCTAAAAAATTTACAGGTAGCTGAAGAGGCAGAAACTCCAGTGGGTAAATCTCAAGGAAAAAGTGGGTGTATACACACACACACACACACACA